TATGTGGGGGGGGCCTTCATTTTGTTTTCTTGGGGGGGGGGGGGGGGTGTTATGTGCTTGGGTGTAACTTTGTTTTACAATTAAAAAAAAAAAATTTTTTTTTTTTTTTTTTTTTTTTTTTTTTTCTTTTTTTTTTACTTTTTTTTTCATCACATAGGGGACAAAGTTCCCTATCTGATGATTTTTTTGTGACAGGTTCTCTTTGAGACATCCAGGGCCTAAAACACCCTGGATGCCTCCCCTGAATGTAATGCAGTGCACATCACTTCTGAGTCAGGACAAAGGGGAGGGGAGTGGAGCGGATGTTAGTCTACTCCATCCCCTCTAGCCAACGGCGGTAAGCTGGTCCCGGGCCCGCAGATGAGCAAGTGGAGCCTGGGAGACAGTGGGCGGTTCACTCGGGGGGGGGGGGGGAGGCTGGCACTGTGTGGAAGCAATCGGCGGCTGTGCTGCTACCTAAATGCTTCCACCTGACAGGTGAACCCTTCTGCTTGTCCACAGCAGGGCTAAAGGACAAAAAACAAAAACTACCTGCCTGGCACCCAGAACTACAGGTCCCGGGCATCGAGCGATGCAAATTCAACATCCCTGAGGTTCAGGTACCATTGCACAGAAGACGACAGGCGCTGTTCTACTGACCCAGTAAATCCAGCTAAGTGTGTGATGACCATCACACTCACAGCTGGATTTACTGGGTCTATAGAGTGGTGTCTGACCTTTTCTGTAACCACATTGGGACACTGGCTCCCTTTTTCTGTATACCGGCAGGGTAATATCTCTCTCTGGCTTGGATCGGCACCACAAACTTTCTCTACATACGCAGGTACCATAACTGCTATTGCTTAGTTTCAGACATTATCTTTCTTACCTTTTTTACAAGGTTAAAAACTTCTGTCATGTGACCATGCATCTCTTTGCCCTGATAGTAGGAGGCGAGGTTACAGGACATTGTGCAGACACAAAGGGGTTGAGGGGTTGAAAGGGGTTGCAGTTGCTCCAGAGTTAGTTGCTCCAGAGGTTAGTTAATGAGGTAAAGTTTCACTTTGCAAAGAATGCCCAATCATGTGCAAGGAAAATAAAAAAAAAAGAACTGCGTTTTTGCTGACACATGATTGAATGATGGAAGTCTGCAGATCTTCTCATTTACTAAGCTCTGGAGCATCTACACTTGCAGAGTGCAACTGAATTTTGCAAAGTGCACAGTCTATTTGCCTTTAGTAATTCAACCCCACAGTTTGCCTATATTCCACAATCTGTTCAGCCTGAGGCAAGATTGTGATTGGTTGGGGAGGGGTATGGTGGCTGAATAAACTACCCAATACAGGTATGCTGTGTGTTTGCACATTGTTATGGACCTGTGAAGGGGCAGCCAAATGGATGAAAACTGACCACGTGAACACAGATCAGCCTCTGTGCTTTGTGTGGTCAGTTTAGAACAAGGAAGAACGGTGAACGGCAGGATCAACCATGTACTTCAGAGGAAAGAAGTGTATTAAAATGATACATTACATACAGTTCACATATGTGAATGCACACATACAAAAGATATAAATATATAGGGTAACATACACTTTATGTAATCTTCAGGCCTAAAATTGTTTTTTTTTAAATGCATGCAAAAAACATCTGCGGCAGTGAAAAGGTTAAACAATTCCTCTGTAATTTGATAATATAAAATGTTTCAGCATTTGAAGTGTAAGAAGCCCACGGTAAAGTTGTAAGCGATGTTTTCTTAGGCTGCCATTTGTTTCATGTTCTGCCACATTCCTTGCACTTTGTAAGGAAGAGTAATCTGCAGAATGTATTGTTTTAGTTACTTGCCCTGTCTGCAGTAAAGTCATAGAGGAAAGCAAAATAAATAAGAGGTTTTCAAAAGCATAAAGCATTAGCAACATTTGGGATTTGCAGTTTCCTGCTGAGCTATTAAACTCAGTAAAGTCATATCTGTAGATGACTGTATAGTGGGAAATGGAGCCTCCTAGATCTAAAAGATCTGGGCTAAAGTGTGCCTGCATTACAGTGCTTGTGTTGCAACAGGTATTGAGGATTTGTAAGTTGCTCCTTGAAGTTTTCGAACAGTCAGAATGTACTAACAAAGAAATCTTGTACATGTGCTACACATCTGGAGAGGCATGTCTGATTTGTAACCCAAGATTTGTCTGTTTACTTTTATGGACAAAACAGACACCCTTAGGGGAATTTCTACCTCCATTAACTTTAAATACTTGTAGTTTTAGCTGTTGTTGTGAACTACTCTTATAATATGGAGTCCATGGGGGAAGGTAACTGGTGAATGTGGAGAAGTGCTCCGGCTTCTAAAATGAGTATGTTCATATGCAAAAGGTGCCAAATTAAGAAGCCTAAAGTAAATGGATTAATTTAGCATGTAAGAAAAATATAAATGCAGAATAGAGATTTAAAAGAAGAAATAAAGCACAATAGTTTTTTTGGGCATGAAGTAATGTTTTAGGAGAAGTAGCATTTTGTAAAAAAAGTGACATTATGGGGTTTATTTACTAAAGCTGGAGAGTCCAAAATCAGACTCCCTTCTGCATAGAAACCAATCAGCTTCTAACCCAGGGTGTGGGCAAACTTTTTGACTTGAGGGCCGCAATGGGTTCATATATTGGACCCGGGGGCCGGACCAAGAGTAGATGAATGATGTGTATGTGTCATCCATAGTAAGTATAGTAATATTCCCCCATAGTACGCATAGTAATTAATCCCCCATATAGTAATTCATCCCCCATAGTAATTCATCCCCCATATAGCAATTCGTCCCCCATATAGCAATTCGTCCCCCATATAGCAATTCATCCCCCATATAGTAATTCATCCCCCATATAGTAATTCATCCCCCACATAGTAATTCATCCCCCATATAGTAATTCATCCCCCATAGTAATTCATCCCCCACATAGTAATTCATCCCCCACATAGTAATTCATCCCCCATATTAATTCATCCCCCATATAGTAATTCATCCCCCATATAGTAAGTCCCCCATATAGTAAGTCCCCCATATAGTAATTCATTCCCCATATAGTAAGTCCCCCATATAGTAATTCATTCCCCATATAGTAAGTCCCCCATATAGTAATTCATTCCCCATATAGTAAGTCCCCCATATAGTAATTCATTCCCCATAAAGTAAGTCCCCCATATAGTAATTCATTCCCCATATAGTAAGTCCCCCATATAGTAATTCATTCCCCATAAAGTAAGTCCCCCATATAGTAATTCATTCCCCATATAGTAAGTCCCCCATATAGTAATTCATTCCCCATATAGTAAGTCCCCCATATAGTAATTCATTCCCCATATAGTAAGTCCCCCATATAGTAAGTCCTCCATATAGTAATTCATTCCCCATATAGTAAGTCCCCCATATAGTAATTCATTCCCCATATAGTAAGACCCCCATATAGTAATTCATCCCCCATATAGTAAGTCCCCCATATAGTAATTCATTCCCCATATAGTAAGTCCCCCCTATAGTAATTCATTCCCCATATAGTAAGTCCTCCATATAGTAATTCATTCCCCATATAGTAAGTCCCCCATATAGTAATTCATTCCCCATATAGTAAGTCCCCCATATAGTAATTCATTCCCCATATAGTAAGTCCCCCATATAGTAAGTCCCCCCTGTGTCAATTCACTTACCTTTGCTCCTCCGCGCGTTCCTCTCGTATTCCCGCGCCGTTCTGGTCTTCAGGGAGGACTGTGAGAGAAGAGTTCGTCACGCTGCCCCCGCCTACATCCTGGCTGCCCCGCCTACATCCTGACAGCTGCAGAGTCCTGACGCCCGAGAGGAGGGAGGGAGGGGAGCGGGCGCCCGGCACACAGGAGAGCCGCATCTATTGTAAAGAGCCGCGGCTTGCCAACCACTGGCCTTGCGGGAGCCTAGCTCCGCGGGCCGGATTAAAAGGTCCGCCGGGCCGTATACGGCCCGCGGGCCGTAGTTTGCCCCATTGCTGTTCTAACCTCAGCTTGTTCAATGAAGCTTTGGCAATGAAACCTGGAAGCTGATTGGTTTCTATGCAGAAGGGAGTCTGATTTTGGACTCTCCAGCTTTAGTAAATAAACCCCTATGTGTTTTGTGAACAAAAAATTATAGTTGGTACTAAATGTTGCATTTATTTGTCTTGTGTCACAAGTTTGCAATGATAATCCTATAAAGGTTATTGATTTTAAATGTGCCTAAAATATGGGCATTTATGAGAGGAGGACAGCAGTTGTAAGAAAAAACCTCAACTAGGAATGTACTTAAAACATTTTTTACTGGCGAGTACGAGTACCGATGCTTTCGGTCAAGTACTCACCAATACGGAGTACCGACCCCTTTTGCGGTGCGATTTGAGCCCATACAAAATGAATGGGCTCAAATTGCACTTCAAAGAATCACATGCAATTTGAACAGGAATGCAGTGCAATTCCTGTCCAAATCGCATGTGGTTTCATCCACAGCTCCAGAACTGTCATTTGTCTGCAGTTCTGAACATCATGACCAATATGTACTGAATATAAACCCTTGCTTGACACAGTGGATTATGATTTATTCTGCCCAGACACTTGTTACGCAGGTAAAGTCCCCTTACTATTTTCCGCTTTGCTAGGCCCTTAGGCTTTTTTTTAACCTTGTAGCTGCCACTCATTGTTTGCCCCGCTCCTGGATCCGGTCTGCAGATCACCATCCTCTCCCATCATCTAGGATCTGCTGTGATGTTCCCAGCAATCATATGCTCCCTTCTGTGTGAGAAAGGCATTACCTGATCAGACATGGAATGCATGGCCACTTGTGGTGCTCACAAGGCTGGAGGAGATGCATAAGTGGTCTGCCCCCAAGCTGACATCACTTCCGCCCTATACCCACAGACCCCATGACTTATTTGCTGTACTTTTCTATTGACTATCATCCATTATTTGAATATTGGATTCTTAAAAGAACATTTTTTTTTTTCTGAAATATAATATGAAATGTTTTGTTTCTAATTCAGGGGCACAATGTTCACATTCGTACAAAAGGGGGCAAGGTGGTGTGTTTGGGAACAGTCCATGGCAACGTGGATATCCGTGCTTTGGCTCATAGTGTAAGTATATTTACATTAACAAATAGATGCCTTGACCTGTGATATATATGCATACATATGTATCCCTAGAAGCATTCTTGAACTTGGAATCTTTTATCAAAAAAAGTCTTAATGTCCATCAAAATAAAATGCACTACCCATATTTAAGATGTATTCTAGTATGTTACCACCAAGTAGGTATTTACAAAGGCTGTTTAGAAACCTTTATGTCAAACCTTCCCTGTAGCCCCATTGAAATGAGACAAGACCTTCAGCGTGCTGCAGGAAAGGTACCTGTGCCCAGCTGGTTGCCAGTAGTGCGTGACCTCGATCTGTCACTAAGGCCGTGTCTGCCCACCAGCGATCAATGTCCAATTGGGGCAAACCGGAGTGGATAAGGCAGGTTATTTACTACCGCCCTGGCTTAGTGAAGCAAGATGCCAGAGCAGCTGTGGATATATTAAGTCGAAACAAAAATAATCTGTTGAAGTGTGATCGGTTGTTGTGTGGGCAGGGAGCAGTGGCTTGTGAATGAGGAGGTGCAACTTGAGTAAGTAAACGTTTGTATTTAAAAACTAGCAATTTCCATTTTTTTAGCTGTCAAATTGTAGGCCACTGATGAAGGTGTGACTGCCATCCTTGGACTGCTTGGAGTGAAAGGAACATTTAAACTTTACTTGGTAGTCTTTCTTGTTTTTGGGGGAGATAACACCTACTTTATATTTGTTACATGTTCTCATTCATGTAGCCTAATCTATGCCTAACCTAAACAAAAAAATTAAACTTTGCTTATCACTTTAGATAATTCCAGCACAAAAAATCCTGCATAGCTTTCTTTTGTTTATGGCTGAGGGCTGAGGAAAGTTGTTTGCCATAATTAACTTTGTCTGTACTTTGCTGGCACATCTTGCTATCAGTTGTAACAAAGGCTTAAAGGTTTGGAATCTGGCCTCCTGAATTGTATTTTAATAAGAGGAAACTTGCAAATGCTAATTTTTAGTAAAAAAATACACTGAAATGAATTAACCACTTGCCCTCTAGAAGATTTACCCCCCTTCATGACCAGGTCAATTTTTGCTATTTGGCACTGCACTATTTCAACTGGTAATTGCGCATTCGTGCAATGCTGTACGCAAATTAAATTTATGTCCTTTTTTCACACAAATAGAGCTTTCTTTTGGTAGTATTTGATCACTTCTGCGGTTTTTACTTTTTGCGCTATAAACAAAAAAAGACCAATACTTTTGAAAAAAAAAAAACAATATTCTTCACTTTTGGTTATAGCAAATATCCAATAAACTCAAAGTTAGTCATAAATTTAGGCCAAAATGTATTCTGCTACATGTCTTTGGTAAAAAAAAAAAAAAATCTCAATACATGAATATTAATTGGTTTGTGTGAAAGTTATGGCATCTACAAACGAAGGTATATATGTTTGTAATTTACGTAGCTTTTACTTTCTGACTGCCTATCACATTTTGTGAGGTGCTAAAATGCCAGGGCAGTAACCCCTTCCCCAAATGACCCCTTTTTGGAAAGTAGACAACCCAAGGATTTTGCAGAGAGGCATGTCGAGTCCATTGAGCATTTTATTTTTTGCCACAAATGTTTTGATCATTTTTTTTTTTTTACACAAAGTCTTCATTTTATTGCTCATGCATGCCATGGGTATATGTGGAAATACACCCCAAAATACATTCTTCTACTTCTCCCAAGTATGGGGATACCATATGTGAGAAACGTTTTGGCAGCCTAGCTACATATAGGCCCCCAAAATCCAATGACCATCTCCAGACTTTCAAAGGGCATATTTTCTCCTATCACTTCCCCACTATGTATCACAGTTTTGGAGGCCCTAAAATGCCAGGATAGTACAAGCAAGCCCCCCCCCCCCCCCCAAATGACCCCTTTTTGGAAAGTAGGCACCCCAAGGAATTTGATTAGAGGCACGGAGAGTATTTTACAGATATCATTTTTGTCACAGGGTTTTGAAAAAGAAAAAAGAAAAGAAAAAAATGAATTCTTGTTTTCTTTCTTCATTTCCTAAAAACGTGGCAACAAATGAGATCTGAAAAATACTCACCATACCTCTTAGCAAATACCTTGGCATGTCTGCTTTCCACAAAGGTTTCATTTGGAGGGGTTGCTTCCACTCTCCTGGCATTTCAGGGCCAACATTAGAAGCTTATGCCACACATCACCCAAGCTTGAAGACAAAACCTTTTCTGACACTTTTTGTTCACATGAAAAAAAAACATTTTTTTTGCTAAAAAATTACTTTGAACCCCCAAACATTCTATATTTTTTTAAAGCAGAGGCCCGAGAGAAAAAAAACGGTGGGTGTTGAAATTGTTTACGTTGCACCGTATTTGCGCAATGATTTTTCAAAACGCAAATCTTTTGGAAATATACACTTTTTAGAAATTTGGAAATGCACAAAAACACAAATACTTGTTTGATAAAATATAAAAGATGATGTTACGCCATTTTTTTTTTTTTTTTTTTTTTTTTTTTTTTTTTTTTTTTTTTAACATGTTCCGATTCACATTGCTTGACTTATTAAAATATTTAAAAATTGCTGCTTATCATTTTTTACAATTTCTTTTACCTTGCTAAGAAATCTTATGTGGCCCTCTCCTTCCTAATGCTTACCATAACTAACCCTGTCTGAACTGTGCTGGCAGATCTCATTATTATACTTGTCTTTCTCCAAAGCTCAAGTGTCATTTCCCTTTGATGCTTCCTTCCTCTGTTATCAGCATGTGACACTTCTGAGATGTTTTACTGACACCTGAAATAAAATTGTGATGGGGAGGGAGCTCAGCACACATCTTATTTACTCACAACACAGCTCTGCTTGTTTCTTCTTTCTTGTTCAGTATGTGGAAGGGGATGTGTCCCTTTTCTTTCAATCAGCTCTTACACAGTTGACAGGAGCTCTTACTGCAGCTTCCCGCCCCCCTCCTCTGTGATACTGACAGACTAAAAAGGATTTTGTCTAAATTCTGCACTTTTGGAGGGATGTAGAAAAGAGAAGACTGCAGATAAACAAGTAAAACTTTGTTTCATCTCTGCGTATTTATTTACCACCTGAGGCCAGTCACTTCACTGAGTATATGTGAGGGTTTACAGCCACTTTAAAGCACTTTTAACATATAGTGTGCGGTTTCTCAAATTTGATTGTACAAGTGGAAATACACTTTAAGCCTTCAGGATATTTATAAACAACCTTCTTTTAAGAGTTTTTTTTTTTTTTTTTATGAAGGTGGCAAGGAGCTTTGAAATGAATGCTTTTTTACCTAGTCACCCAGCACCTTACAAGTCTCTTTTAAAGTTGGCTTCTTCGGCTAGTATTGATCTCTTTAGTATGTAAGCACAATTATGGGTTGTCATACTCTGGAGACTTGCTATGCTACTCTACATATTTTTGGCTGTTTCTGGTAGACAGAAGTAATGTTTGGCGAAATTTGAGCAAAATTGACCATGCTGGTTACAATCTCAGAAAATTAATTCTAAAGTATTTAGATTTTTTTCAAAGCCTGATACCAGATTAATTTTTTTTTTTTTTTTAAATTGTGATTTGTTAGGATAGACTAAGACTTCATCCACATGGACGTATGGGGCCACATGCTGGGTACAATTGTCAATAGAATAAATTACAGGATGTGTTTGTACACAGGCATATGCCAGTTCTTGTGTTAGCATGTCTGGACACAGGCTATCTGCGTACAGGGGAGTCTGTCGGTTATGTCTGTGCGTTCTTACACAAGTACTGGTATATAACCACATACAGTTGCATCCTATAATTGATTTCTGTGGATGTCTGTACGCAGCAGCTGTGGCTGCCAGGTGAAGAAATAAGTCTGAATTTTACATCATGCGGCCCCAGGCACACATGTGCATGAGGCTTAAAATAGAAGTGCGGGAAAGATATAAACGATACATAGCTGGCTGCACCATCTGGGCAGATCTCCACATTGTCAGGATCCCTGCAGTGCCTAGACCAGCTCTGTGATGTCATCCAACAGCAGGCTTTAGCTCACTGTCAACTGAATCTGATTCACAGGAGTACAGAACTAAGTGCACTCCTGTGACCAACAGGAGAAGTATGGCCAAAAAAAACTTTTGCCTTCTCCTTTAAATCAGTAATAAACCCAAAGCAAACCTTTATTATCTACGTTCAGTCCACCCTATAGCAGATTTACTGCTACAGGGCGGACCTTCTGTGCAAAATCACATATATAAATGTGATTTTGCACTTCTGCCATAGGAGGCGTGCGTGCACCGACAGAGCGTTGCTTCTGTTGTGGTTAGACAAAGTAGAAAATGATCAACAGGTGCCAGCCAATGGATGAGCACTGAGGAGACTGACAGAACACAGCTCAGAACAAGCCAGAGCTGTGTTCTTTCAGCGGCGATTTGCAGGGAAAGAAAATTACCAGATTGCCTAGTAAAAACAGCACATGGTAAACACAAACACTGGCTAGGCACACAGTTAACCCTTTGATTTCCCTAGATGTTTAACCCCTTCCCAGCCAGTATCATTAATACAGTGACAATGTATATTTTTAGCACTGATCACTGTATTAGTGTCACTGGTTCTCACAAAGTGTCAGTCTGTCCACGGCAATATCTCAGTCCCACTATAAGTCGCTGATCGTCGCCATTACTAGTAAAAAATTAAAAATTCCAGTGTATATATACTATAGTGTGCAGACACTATAACTTTTGCACAAACCAATCAATACAGTTGCAAGAAAAAGTATGTGAACCCCTTGGGATTACATGGAGTTTTGCATGAATTGGGCATAAAATGTGCTCTGAACGTCATCAACAAGAAAGAACACAGTCTGCTGAACATACTACTACACAAACATTGGATGTTGCCATGGTTTAATTGCACATAAAATGTAAACATTTACAGTGCAGGGAGGAAAAAGTATGTGTGAACCTTTGGACTTAATAAATGGTTGACCCTCCTTTGGCAGCAATAACCTCAACCAAACGTTTCCTGTAGTTGC